ATTCAACCGTTAGTAGACCCTAATACGTCTGACCGTTATCTTGCCAGAGGTCGACTCGTTCTAGTCGACATGTGTTCGTCGACTCGATAGGGAGCCGAGATTCTTGACTGAGTATCGTGGAACCTTACTAGTGGAGTCGACTTTGTCGAAGTCGACTTGGTGGTCTCGAACCGTGATGGTATGGACCGCTATGAGCCAGTGTGGCTATATCATCTTGTCCCCCTCAAAATTTAATCGAAGCGATTCTGAGCTTAAGAGTAAGTTCTGGATGGTCGAGCGTCTTCCTCGAGTCTCCTCTTACATCCTATCGTCTGTCGTTGCTCTAAATTATATATGGTAGTTTCTGCAGCTTGCGAGGCGGTGTTCACCTAGTTGTACTTTGAAATGAATAGATAAGTCCGGATCTTTTCAAATTTCAAAATTCAAAAAATAACATTCTCTCGCTCCGCCGCTTCGCATTCTGTGCCTCATCTTGGCCGTTGAAAATAACTTTAATCCGAGAGCCGGGGTTCCTTTGCCCTCCCTATAAGTAATCCTCACCTTTTCTCATCCATACTTTTTCGCACTCGCCTCCCTCAAGCTTTCTGTTTTTCTCCGGCAATCACAGCCTTCTCAAGTTTCTCGGCGCTCTAATTTTCCGGCGTTCTTCTCAGATTTTTCAAGGCTCCGTCAAGCATCATGAGTATGAGTAAGTTTTCTTTACCTGTACGACTTGTTTTTATATGTTCAAGATAGGAACACTTTTTGTTTTTTCTGGGTGATTTATCTGGAAATAAGAACATCTTTTATTTTCTGGGAATCGCGTGTGAATTTTCTGGCGATTTTTCTGTTGGATCTTTAATTGTAAGTTTTTCATCTTTTCAAGTGTTCGTCCTCCGTTAGTCGTCCTGTTATGGGATCAACTTCTTTCCTTTCCCGACTTGACCTTTATTTGTCAAGTCGAAACGATAGGGGAACTACTTATTTCTTCTCCCTTTTTTCCCGTTGTCGAGGCGTTTCTCGTGTCATCCTGGTTATTTTGTTGAACCTTTTCTTTGAATCGAATCGTGATTTCTGACCACCTTTCTTGATCACCATTCTTTATCTTCTTAGATTCCAACCTCGACCCTGTTTCTGACCCCGTCTCCGGTTCTCTTGCCCGTGAAATCGACAACTACTCGGATTCGGACTCTGTTCATTTGAGCGATGTCGAGCCATGTTCTCATCTAAACGTCGAGCCGGAGAATTTTGTCCATTCACGGGCCTCACCTTTTGGTATCGACTGGGCTGTGTATAACCAGGCGCTACTTTCGGGCACCCTCTGTGAGGATCTCGAAGTTCTCAACACCCTTGAATCTTCTCATCCCGACTTGGCTCCTCGAGGTATTTTCCGCTAGATTTTTTCGAACACCCTTCTGTATGCGGCCCGCTTTGTTCCTTTATAATGACTTCCCTTAATCTAGTCTGCAACTATAGCATGTTCCGTGGTAAGTTCTTACTATCGTTTTCTTTATGCTCCTGCAGCCGAAATCGATGGCTTCAGAGAGTTCAGCGGCCTTCCCGCGGACTGGGCTGTAGTTGCTCCTAAGCCCGAAGACGACTTTCGTCACCCTCCCAAGGGCTGTTTTACCTTTTTCGTGGACCAAATAATGTCGGGCCTGCGTTTCCCGATTCAACCTGAACTGAAATCGTTAAGTGACCTTTTTTATGTACCAATAAACCAGTTCACCCCTAATTCTATTCGAATAATGGTAGCCTTTATAGTCGTTACCCGCATAGTTCTAGGTGACTTTTTACCCGAATTTTTCCTTTATTGTTACGGGTATAGGTTTAGCAAAGACGCCCATTGTTTGGGTCGTCGAGTAGGTGTTACTTTCCTTGACGACCTCTCTTCCAATATCACCGAATGGAAGAAGAAGTATTTCTTCATTCGACCTGCTCCTGGTCAATATCCTTATTCGAATGAATGGATCACTAGTAAGACAAAGCAACGTAAGCGTCCCGACTCTTCAAAGTTTGCCGACATGCTAGAAGAATTAAATGGACATGTGTGGAGCGCTCGTCAACTTACCAAAGATGTTTCTTTACTTAACCATGTTGGTATTTGTGTTGACAAAAGTGCTCCTCGCCTTAGCGATCCTTGTAAGCTTTCTTCGCTTGTCGTCTTTCGTTCCACTTTATTTACTGATGGTTTGGCCTCGTATTTCTGCGTTGTCTTGCAATATATGCACGGCTTATGTGTTTATTTGTACTGATAATTCTCCTTTTCTTTTTTAGTAAAAGCATTGGCCCGCTTCGAGAAGAAAAAGATTGAGCCGTCCAGTAAGCCAGCCAGCCACTCTATCCCTCAGGGGTCTACGGGAGGTTCTGATGCTGCTATTCCCGTTGCGGCAGTCGAGACGACTGCCGCCAAAAAATCCAAAGTGGTACTTCCTTCAGCTTCCAAACCGGGTCAAACGACAGGCTCTCACTCCCATAAGAGGCCTCAGAACCGGGAAGATACAACTTCGGGGTCCGACCCCTCGAAGCGCTCGAAAGGGAAAGAGACAGCGGTCGATAGAGACGCTGGACAGCCGTCCCCTGTTAGGGTGCAGCCTGTTACCCTTCAACAGCCCTCACGCCTCTACGACAACCCCGATTCCCTCCAAATTCTCAACTACCTCCAATCGGTTCTTCCTGAGGATGACAGAGTCCGGACCGACGGCAACCCTTATCATCGGGCCCGATACGCAGCTCGGCTCATTCCTCGGGTAAGTTTAATCTTATGTTTGCTTATTTTTCTGGTCTTGGATCCATTTCTTAATTTTTGTTTGTTTGTCCTTTCTTAAGCTTCTCGCCTGCATCCTCCCGACCCTGATCGAGGAGGCGACCTCCCCCGAGTCGAATATCCAGACTCTGAGGGAGCAATACACGACTAAGTGTAACGAGCTTGCGGCCAAGGAGGAGGAGCTCGAGGCCGCGAACGCAGTCATCGCCAAGCTCCGCTCTGAGAAGGAGGCGGCTGTTCGAAAGGCTGAGCGGCTGAGGGTCGACTTGATCAAGGCCAACGACGAGATCTTGGCCGAGAAAGAAAATGGGATAGAGGAAGGTCGACGGACCTTCCTGAAGTCCACTGCAGGAGCTGTTTTTCTTGATCACTACCGTCGGGCCGTGGTCGAGGGATTCTGCTCCTCAGAGGAGTTTCTTGACAAACTTGTTCCCTCGGCTGTCCAATACTTTGACTATGCCTGTGACACGTGGGAACAGGCTGTGACCAAGCCCGACTTCTCGGGGAAGATCGACCGGGACGCCGTGATGCTGACCCTCCCCGACCCCAAGGGCTTCCAGGAAACGGTTCTTCCCCCTGGCCATGCATGGTGGAGCAGTCTTGCGGCCAGGGCCATCCAGTCGGCTGGGTTATCTTCTCAGCTTGAGGTCCCCCCACTTCCCTTGGTCGGCCCCGTTGAATTGGTAGAGCCCAGTGGGGCGAACTTCGAGGAAGAGCCGCTTGACGAGGAGTTTGGAGTCGAGCGGCCCAATACGGAGCCGATTGGGGAGGAGGGGGAGGCTCGGACTGAGCCGATTGGCGATGGAGCTGCTGATGAGAAGTCGACGGCCGACTCCCAAAGGGCTTAGATTTGGTTTCTGCTTGTATTCTTTTTGCTTTTACCATCTCATCCTATTTTCTCCTTGTAAAGGATGAGATGGTGTCGGATGTAGTAAACTTCTTTTAATTATAATATTTAATTGTGCTATCGTTATATCATCGTCTTCTCATGGTTGTGACTTTTTTATTTTCATGTTTGTTTTTCTTTCTTTACCTTACTGTCCTCTCCCAACCCTTTTTGCGAGCTGGTCGAAGTCGAGCAACCATTTTAACAGCTGTTAATCTTAAGTTTTTCGAGTCGTCCTCTCCCAACCCGTTTTGCGAGCTGGTTGAAGTCGAGCAACCATTTTA